TTGGTCCTTCCTTCGGTGTGACGGCGTAGTTTATCGCGAGAGCGCGTTCTCGCGCGACGATCGCGAGAAATATATCGAAATATAAGTATAATCCCTTTCAAAAGTCGCGACTCCTCGCCGGCAAGTGACGCACCGCAACGATATATATATCGTTTAATATATCGTTAACCGTTCTTGCCGCTCGTTTTTCGTTTTCGTTCGGAAAACGTTAGATCTATCTTCCCGACGATCAACGCGAGGATTTTACCGAATCGACACGACATCGATCGATCTCTCAATTGACGCTCCACCAATTCTTCGTCCCGCTCGCACGTTTCCTCTCAGCAGGAATCCTGAGACACGACATGATCGCCTCGTATCGATCTATCGGCGACAGACCGGTCTAATCAAAGTTTCCTCCACTTGAAGTTTATCCCTGTAGCAGCGGATGAGCGAGGGTAATTTTCCTTAGAGAAGATAAAATCGCTCGATTTGAGGTGACTATCCTGGCGATATATATCGCTATTTAACTCTAGACGTCGTTGCACGTTGATTATTCAATAGGACTCTGCGTATAAATGTATATATTTATTTTTTTTTTTTGTTATACATAACTACCTGTACAGGGATGAGTGGGCGCGTACGATCGCGATGTCTATATGCGCGTGTATACATTCATATTAAAATATCTCTCAGGTGAAGCGAGCTGGGAGGACCTCTCGATCCTGGCGAGAGATCGGGTCCGAGCCGGGGGAGAAGCCGCGGTGTCGATTCCGAGTGATTCCTAAGCGCGATCGGAGGGTGAGATTATGAGAGGGTGGTGGCGGAAAGCGTGTGCGGCTTGCCTTTGCTTTGTTCCTCGAGATTACCTTGTTTGTAGTATTGCTTTCGTTGTATATTCACGGGTGGAAGATTTTACATACTCTACGACGCCGGTCTCATGCTATCTCGTCGCTCTCGCGAAACGTACGCGTATGTTCTACGTGCGCGTTCTCTACTCATCTAGTTTATATATCTCTCTCTCTCTTTTCTTTCTCTACCTCTTCTCTCTCCCTCTTCCTCCGCTTCACCGCCACGGATTCGTTAGCCTGTGCATGCGTCGCCGAGAATGTGCGAATCCACGTCGGGACTACCACGTCGCTCTGGCTCCGCCACTCGCCAACTGTTCATTCGTCCGGTTTTTCCAGATGGTGTCTCGTCACGCCGATTCTCGACGACGCCGCTGGCCCGGGATGCGCGTATTTCGACAACGACATCCTTATCGACGATCTGGATCTGGAGCTTCAAACGATGAACATTGAACTTCTCTGTAAATTGACTGCGAATGCCGTTTGCGAGTCCGTCCGATAAAGAGAAACTTCGGTTAGGTCCGAAAATCCGAGAGAGATTAAAAAGCAATTCTATTCTGCTGCTTTATTGATAGTTGGACTTGCTTGGACTTCGTCAAATGCTGAATTCTTTAACCGGCGTTTCGCTGTTTCACAGTTTCATAAGTGACTTCGAGAGCTTCGATATGAATTGTTGAGTTTCTATAAGGAGTTGGTCCTCTGAATTATCCGGCCCGCACCGCAGTTAGTTCCCTTTGAATCGCAGGAAACGGATATTGTACTCTGAGAATGAAAGCGGAATTTTTCTAGCGCCTTCCACTTCTTCTCTGTGTTTTTGCGTGTCTTTCCTTGATTCGTAAAGAGGATAAATTTTAATTTTAAATTCCAATTTCCGATTAGCACCGTATTAAGCTCACTCCAAATTATACATAGAGAATAGAAATCACGTGGAATAGAAATCATGTGGTCGATCGTCGCTAAAGTTTTCTCTTCCCTCCCTCACTCGAAATCCAACGAAACGTTCCCCGTGTCGAAACGTTCCCGTTCCAGTTTCGCGTTTCACTCTCGCCGTATTTCCATCCTCGCCTTCTTCGACCGCCTTCTTCGTTTCCGAAGGTACTCGGAGCTCGATCGTCGGAGCGCGATCGTGTCCCGATATGCGATCCGACGATTCCTCGCGATCGCAGCTTCCTCCTTTTTCGAAAACAGTCTCTCCTTCGAGACTGATCTCCTTCTCTCCGGAGATGGGCGGAGGTGTGCCTTCGCAGGGACGAGCAACAAGTTGGACAACAGGTCCGCGATGTTGTGTATCCGTGTGCGCCGGTGTGTGCGAGCGCTGCCGCCGCCGCCTTACGTGTGTGGTCGATAGCTCCCTCTAGCCCTCTCCGCGACTCCCGGAAATCCCGCGCGCACCCCCTTCGCAACCCCCCGTTCTCGCGCTCTTGCCACCTATACCTTGCACGGTGCACACAGTCGCGAAAGTCAAAAGCGACTTGGCTGACGAGCGCGCCTGAAGCTACGGTACTTCCTCCCCCTGATTGCACCGCGAGCACGCTTGCGTCACCAACGCGGGATCCCCTTATCTTTGACGTTTCCTCGCTGGAAGCCTCGCTCGGATCCTCGGCTGATGTTCCGGAGCAGAGCGTGTCGGCGATGGGTCGGCGGGCACGCGGACTACCGGTGGTAGTTTCGCACGGCGGACGGATATACACGAGGCGTAACCACGACAACGAGCACCCCGACGGCCACGATGACGACGGCGACGGCGGTGACGTGGAACGAGAACGAACGACGGACGACGACAAGGACGACGACGACGACAACGACGACGGCGGCGATGAGGAAAACGGTGAGAACGACAATGAAGACAACGATGATGACAAGGACGACGACGGAATCCCCGGGCACCCGGCGACGGCGGACGCGAGCACCGACGAGCTCCGCGAAGATCGAAGACGAAGATGTACCACCTGTAGGCGCAGAAGCAACAATTGTCCGCCGTGTATCGCGGTGGAGGGTAGCCCGACTACATGGCTCGTACCGGGTGTGGCTGGGGTGCAACTGCCAATGCAGCGTCGCCGACGAGCGTCGCCCCGCGTCCCGGGCGCCTGCGTCCTCGCCGCCGCGCTCGTGTGCAGCTTTCACCCCCTTTCCCTCCCTGCTGCGTAACTCGCGTTTCCAATCCCCCTTCTCGTCGCCTCTTCGTCGGCTGCGGCGCATCCTCCCACGTCTCTTGTTCTCGCTCCCCTGTTCTTACACGCCACCCTCTCCTCTTCCTTGATCGAGGGGACCGAGCGGAGGACGGTCAAGGGGGAAAGCTGGCAGGGAAGCGGCGGACGGGGGGGGTGTGGATCGGCGCGGGGAAACCCCCTCGCGACGTCGATCTGGCTCTCGCCCATCGATTTTATACGAGTTCGGGGCCAGACCAACACCTGTTACCGCGGTGGGTGGCTGAGGAGGAAGGGCGGAAGAGCGAGCGATGGAGTGAGATGGAGAAAGGGAAGGAGGGAA